TGGCTGCTGATTTGCTCCGCAAACTTCACTATGTTGGCCGGAAAATGGATAACATGGCCAGTGTTGTTGTATGGTTTGGAGGCAAAAAGTTTGTAAACAAGAACACCCTCTTGATTGGGTAATATAAACTTGATGTTATAGGCTGACGATGAAAAGTCTTGTGAAAAACCTAGGGGATCAGTTCAACATACCCGAAGGTGAAATGGCTGACTTCAACTTGGAAGAGTTCGTTGAAGCAGCGATGAAAGTGGAAGCGGGCGAGATCAAAACATTAAGGGTAACTTGTTGGAAGAATAGAATAGAAACTACATGATTTGAAGATTTGACGATGTTGGGCTTCTATTAGTGCATCCACTCTTCTAATATTAAGTTAAACATGCGAAGAACATAGACACGTTGTAGTATTGCAGAAACCCGTACCACCCGTGTCTTTCCGTGATGACGGTGTCTTGAGCTATAGCAAGTTGCGAAAGTCCAGCGAGAGCGATATTCGCTATGTGGATGAACGCCTTAGCAAAATTCGTGGTAAGCCTTTCCTACTCGAGAAAAGAAGCCAGTTGTAATAGTAATGAAAATAATCCACAGCATTTCTTGTTTCTTTGAAAGTTTAGAATTAATAAACTTAATGACACTCAGCGAGATCAAGGCTTGAATGGTCTAGTCAAGTGCTAGGAAGTTTCCCTCCATATATATCTCAGAAACTAATGAACATAACTTACGATTATTGGTAATGTTAAGATCTGCCAGCCCTCAGTGATGATTCCGCCCGCACATTGGAAACGTTGCCAATGAGGAGTGGACACGACAGTCACGTAAATATAATCACTTTCTTTTTGTCAAGTATCCCCATCTCGTAGATGAGGAAGGGAGAACATTAAACTAATTTCCAGATACCTCGTTTGGATCTCGACTATCCTTTTTACATCGACTCATCAATTCCTTCGTCGTTTGATGATCAGTTTTTGAAGACGGTGTCAAAGCGCAAAGACTAGCTTTTGGAAGTGGCGCACGCAAGAAGTATTTAACACTTATGTTTTTGCATGCACTATGGATTGATAATTTTTATAACATATATTTACCAATTTTTTTTGAGCTCGTCCATATTGTATAGTTGCTAATTTAGTATTAGGACGAAAGTAGCCGATAAACTTTCATAGAAACGAAATCAGTGAAGTCAGCCAAGCTGACTAAGTTCTTTTTTTTAAGCGTGGCCTTAGCATGCTGTGGCAGTGGGTAATGTTTTGTTTTACGGTTAACGAAATCATATCTTTTAACAATGTAAACTGTCTGAGCCTAAGACGCGTGAGGTTCTAGGAGTTCTGCGAATCAAACTTCATGCGTAGCTGGCAACTCTATGGGCTCCGTATTCTCTTTACATTGACACCAGAAGGTTCTAGTCGCTATGACCATTTAGAGAAGCAAGAACTGTATGATAAGAAAGACAAATGTTTTTATTTAGACTCGAAATAAAACACAGAGAAGTCCGTAGATTTGTTTGAACTACCCTTTCTTTCAAGTTTGGAAATATCTGGTACAGCTGAGATATCTGTAAGTAGCATCACGTACAAGAGTCCGTTGCAACCATCTTCGCGACAGCATGACCCTTTCTAAATGTCAGATTGTCGTAGAAGTTCTCCGCCTTTTTGATTTCCGCCAAATTTATGGGTTCGTTTATGAACTTTCTATAAAGTACGCAAAATTAGCCAATAATCTACTTATATCAAACAGC